CGTCGCCAGGTGTGTGCTGGTGATGAATGAAGTGAGTCACCTCTTATGCTGTATGTGAAACACAAGCTGCAAAATTACCGCACAGACGCAAACAATTGTTGCTAATCATTAACTCGTTTTTAGCATAAGTAGTGCGCTCCTAACTCGTAATTCTATTTTTGGAATGAGCTTTTCCTCTGTTTCTGCATCCAATTACATATAGTCTTGGCTTCTAATAATATTTTTCTGTATTATACCTTGCCAGAGAAAGCTTGTTTTGTCATGTCTAAACACCCAGTCTTCGGGTTTTTTTTATTTTATGGAACTACATGTTTTCTGGGTTGGGATGTTAAGGAGTGATGTGTTGGTGCTGGGAGGACTGGTGGTTAGCACTGCTGCCTCGTAACTCTTTGACCCTGGGTTTGTTTCCATCTCTGGAACACCTTATGTGTGGAATTTACATGATCTTCCCCCTGTTGGGTTTTTGCCAGGTGTTCTGGCTTCCTTCCACCTTTCAAAGCCAGACTGGGTAGTTTAATCTCTCCCTGTGTACTTATGTGTGTACCCAGGGATGGACTTGTATCCTGGCTTACAGTACGTGCTTCCGTGTTACCCTGACACTTACTAGAAACAGGAGGTTTTCTAATAAAGAACGGATGGGTGATACAGTACAGTACCTTCACAGAATCAGCTGTTCTCTGGGTGTGATGTTTATTTTGCCTTTATCAATGCAAACTAGTCTCCTGTGGATATGTACTGTATGGACTACTACCTGGAATAGCAGCTTTGCCTAAATATAGCTGTTGTCTTGAAAGCTCTTGCATGTTCAGGGTCCAAAGGTCAGCTATGGACTCGCTGGAGAAAATGCAGGGCAAGTGTAGATCATTTGGACTGCCCCCTGGTGAGAGTGGAATTCCTGCCTTGTTGGTCACATGGTTGAGACTTTAGCTTCCTGACCTGCTGCTTGTGTGTGCCTGATTGTAATGGTTCCTAATGGCCTGCTGGAGAACTATAGCTTTGCTATCTCTGTGTACAAGAGTCCCCCAGATCACCGTTAACAAGCTATCGAATTGCAGGTCGTTAATGCATTTGGGTTAATGCAGAAGTCAAGGCAATTGAGTGACGAAGAAGAATCTTTGTCAGCTCTTTGATACTTTGGATGAGACACATTTTCATGAGAAAGTATGTACTGGATATAAAGTAATACACACACTATATGTACAATACAACAGTATACCCAGCTAGTGAATAGAACGAAATGTCTTAAAGGGTAACTGCAATGCAATGTATATTTTGGGGTTGAAAAGAATCAACATTGGTAAGTGCATTTCAAGCCACAATGAAGTTAAATGTACATAGTAACTTGTAAAACCTCCAATTTACATCACATAATAGGTGAAATTTATTTATATTGCACAGCGCCATATTGTGCGATTCAGATCGAGGCAACAAAACTTCCGGTGACGTGTTGCAGCCTTATTACATTGTAAACAAGCAAACTTGTGAATATATCTCTTTAAATCCAATAGAAATATAGCTCTTAACTTTCAGATTTTAAGTGTTTAGCCAACAAATAATACTTGTTAACTCTGTATGCGGATCGCTTTGGAACATTTCTGCGGTGAAACGTCTGTTGCACAACCTGTACTTATCCTCTCGTTCATCGCATTACACCAGTCATTAAAGTGACTAGTGAACAGGAAGGGCTGTGTCTTGTCGCAGTTAATGGGAAGTCTCGCTCTCGCCCATGGGAAGACCAAGGTTTTGCGAAAACATGGCCCCTGTACAGTACTTTCACAAAGTTCCCAATTTATGCTTAATTTGACAATTGTAATTTTCTTGTACTGTCAATGAATTTATTTTGGTACCAAGATTTATTAACTGGTCTGAGAAATTGGGACTGCAGTTCCCCTTTGAACAGTTTTAACTGTAGTGCAATGCTGGCATCTTCTAAAAATGATCTGGGGACGTTTTCGCAGTAATTGCATTTGTTTCTTATGTGGTACAAGTGGATTCATTCAATAAAACAGAAATGCAAGCTTAAATTCTGGAGAAAAAGACTGCAGTTTAAGTAACAGAATCTGACTGCAAGAACTCTGTAGCCTTTGTCTGGAGACCTTTCAATCAGAGAGAAAACACAGGGTTTTTGCTGGACCAATACTTTATGCAGCCGCTTGAGTGATTCTGATATCTCTATTGCAGCAGATCCAAATGCCACTGCAAAGCTGGTGTCAGCTGCTTTCTGTCTGTTGCGTACAGTGATGCAGTCCAGGGCACCCAGTTTCAAATGCAATAGAAACGTAATTGCTCCCTGAGCATATTAGATATAAAGCACTATCTCAACAACTGCTTCATGTTGGTACACATTAAATGTATTATATCAGCCAAGAAATGTGAGCTGGGAGCATTGTCCACTGTAACATAAATATATGTATAGTATATGTGTTTTAGGTTAGTTTTATATTCTTCTTTACATTTTGATTTTGGCAGGAATGCTGATTTTGGTTTATCTCTGATGAGGGATTTAAACATGGCATCCCGATGATCCAGTATATAAATGTGAACCCTGTGTGGTATTTTACTGCTGTCAGGTTGGCAGTTCTGTAGTGCAGTTTGGCTGTATTGTGATCAGATGACTGTAGCAGAGTTCTATCCTTTGATTTCTCAAGAGCATTTAATCACTTTTCATCACTGCCTTTCACACCACATTGTGGGGCCTATATTTTCCTAGCCTGCATGTGCAATAGGTGTGTCTTCTAAAAGACTAGCAGAATGAAATGCTTCGGGGAAGTAATGGAGCATCTTTGTGAGCAGAGACAGCTCATTAAAGCTGTGTGACAGCTTTGGGGGTAAAATCTCTAATTTGTTTGCTTCACTGAGAAAAGGCTTTCTAAATCCCAAAGTTTTTGACCCCATGTTTAGCAAATGGGGCAGCGTGGCGGTGCTGTGATTTGCATTTCCGCCTCACTGTCCATCTGCTATTTGCAGGGAGTTTGTATGTTCTCCCTATGTCCGCATGGGGTTTCCTACAGAGGCCCCAGTTTCCTCCCATAGTCCACAAACCTACTGGTTTATTGGCTTCTGGGAAAATTGACGCGAGGTGTGAATGCGTGTGCCTGTGTCTTTCTGCCCTGCGATGGACTGGTGTCCCCTCCTGGGTATATCCTGCCTTGTACCTGTTGCTTGCCGGGTTAGGCTGTGGCTGCCTTGTTACCCTGAATCAGAAGAAGTGCTCAGAAAATGGATGGATGGGTTCAGCACATTGTGTCCTAGACTCAGTTTTTGAACTCTTCAGGATGCTACCATTGACGTTACTGTGGCTGGACTTATTAGCCTTACGTTGGCCACATATTTTTGATTTATATCGATTGCCCTGCTTGTAATTGTTGATTAACCTTGTAAACTGCTTTTGTCTGTGAATTCTTAAATAATCAATAGAATCTGTTTACAGAGACATAGCTTTAACTTTCACAGAGTATGGTGGAGCATACAGAACACAGTATAGAAAGAACAACTGCGTTCCATACATTTTTACACCTTATTTAAGGAATATTTACTTGTAGTCTGGATTTTCTGTGTATTGGAGTTATGTGACCTTTACCATTCATTTCGCTTTTGTCCTGTAGCTTATTCTCTCAGTTACAGTGGAGCGCATTGTCTGCTGTTTGATGTACAAATTAATCATTTAAGATTAAATGCAAGATTAATGCGATAAGTTTTGTACTGTATATTTGGTATCGTGTTCTCAGAAATCATGAATACTAATTTAATGACAACCAGCCCAGCAGAGATTGCTTTTTTTTTACTGCAGCACAATAAAGAAATTCAAGGAGATTATGTAATGAAAGTCTACGTAGCTGCCTTGAGAGGTCACCTGCATTGTCATAAGGCAGTCAGGACAGAGACTGGTGCAGTGCTTTGTGATACTGTGGAGGATGAAGTTGGTATTGTGTTGTTCTTGTGAGCCGAATGCTGAAGAGTCTCACAAATGCATCACACTAGAGATCTGTCTTTGTTCATGGCACAGCTGGCCAAGGCAAGGCTCAGAATTTTTTTTTTTATCCCCTGATTCATTTCCCAGTCACATGCTCAAAAAAAAGGCATGCTATTGTGGTTTAATGTAAGGTGTAGCAGATACACCTCAGTAACAATAGACAAGAGTGTATTTTACACAGGCAGCTGTGTGACAAAGGAGTGTGTCAACGATTGTGTTTCTCCTTGAGGTATTTGAATAGGTGTCACCACAAAAAAATCAAATTGCCTTTTCTCTTTATGAGAATTGTGTACTCTTTAGTGCTGCTTGCTAGATTGCTGATCTCACATTTGCTCGCTAGAATTTGTTTACCTGAAACAGGGGTGTCAGCAGTACCTGAGAGAACTTTCTTTGCAGAAGCAATGCCATTCCCTCAGAGGTGAATGATATCATCACCAGCTTGCTTGCATGTACTATTGAAACATACTTTTATTAATGTTTCCCGATAAAAGAAATCTGCTGGAGGTTGATGAGTCAGTTAGTGTATCTAAAAAAATGATGTCATGATCCAGTCCCAGTTTTTTTGGAGCTTAACAAACACTGTGAAAAGAAGATGTCATATACCAAATTCGTAAAACAAAAATGCCCCAGCTCCTATTTTGAATGCATGAAATGTGGTGTTTACTACAGCTCTACCATCCACCAGGATGAGTACTTGAGGTAGGAGATGTGTAAATTGAAAAAAAAAAGAGCGTTATTTTATCTGGTTCTGCCTGCTGTTTTTTGCTGCCTTCGGTTTTTTGTTTAATACTGTACTGCATCCCCGCCTCCACAATAGCTCATGCAGAAAAAACAAGCTTGGCTCCGGTGTATTTTAACGAGGCTGAGATATTTACAGTAGCAGTGGAATAACAAGGACGGGAAAAAAAGGGGAGTAAAGCTTAACAGAATGTTGTTGCTGTAAGTGCTCTCTCTCCGTGTTTCCGTCTCTTTCTCTCTCTCTCTTTCTCTCAAGGGACTGGGCTGAGTGATGGGCTTTTTAACGTCACTGCAAGCAGATATATGGGTGCAGCTCAGCTTTACTGCAGCATGATGCAGTTGTGTATAATTCAGCATGTTGTGCTTGGAGACAGGCTGTGAGAGGAAGGGGCAGACCACAGTGCACACACACACTGTATTCATTTGGGGAGGGGGGTGGCAGAGAGAGACAGAACCTGTGAAATTCCTGCAACAGCAGAAAAAAAAACCCACCACCACCACCACCACCAACAACAACAGCATATCAGCCATTCACCGGTGCCTTTCTCAGTGTGGAATCCGAGCTAGTGCCTGAGTATCTGTCAGAGCAGGTTTGTGAAATCATCCTGCGCAGCTCAGCTCCTTCTCTGATTGCTGCGGCCGAGCTGCTGGCATGCAGTGAACTTGTCAGTTCTGATCCACTTCAAGGAGCGGACCTAACACCCCGTTATTCTGCCGGGGCGCGGAACCGTGAACAAGAGCATGCTTGGAGATGGAGGACCTCCTGACCAGCCCAGGCCACAGACAAATTGCATTGCTTATTAAGAGCCTGCATTAAGAGGATTGGTTCCTCGCCCGAGCTGGCGCGAGATATTTAAAGGGGAGCACATCGCTGCTGCTGCAGGAGGGGACTGACCGCCAGGGGACCAGTACAGGGGCTCTGCAAGGCAGGGCTACCTCTTCCCTTCCTGATCCTCTCATCAGTCAGCAGTGACACCAGCACAGACGTGCCCACGCTACCTGCCTCTCGCACCGCTGGAGGAGCACAGAAGCGTCTTTGTATGCTGCAGACATGGCCAGCCAGCAAGATTCAGGCTTCTTTGAAATCAGCATCAAATCCCTGCTAAAATCCTGGAGCACTAGTGAGTAAACTGCAAGGCTCTTCAGTTCATGGGTGGCTTTGCTTTTCGTTTTTCATTTTAACATTAGCACTAAGGAAAAAAAAACATTACTGTGTGTTTTAAAATAAAGGAATTGATGACCACTGCATGTGATCATTAAATTGAATTTTTTTTTTTGCTTCCGTCTGCTTCTACCACATCCGAATGTCATACAGTAGATGTAAATAGCTCTTATTACGTGCAAAGACTGAGTAATGGGATTAAACTAAATTCGGCTTGATTACATACAGAGCACTCTGCGTAGCTGACCCTTGTGTAATACCCTAGTCCAGAATCCAGTATTTCCTTTTCTGATGTTATCAGGATTAACATAGAGGGCAAAATAATCATAATAACATGAAAGTTACGTGGAGAGCTGCATGGCAGGTATGATTTCTTAAGTGCACACTGTGTAGGTGTTTGTGAATTATTTCCTGTTGGAGGACGATTGTTTTGTTTACATTTCTGTGACCTAGTGATCGTCATTGAAAATGGTGGTTTTACCTAACGAGAAGGGCAAGGAAGAAGATCTTTTTAGCTGTGGATGTGTTGAAACAACTATCTGTTTCACTGTCATTCTGTCTTTTTCCATGTGTTTATTCATTCTATGCACAAATGTATATTGCATGCCTAAAATTCATTCTCATATATATATACAGTATATTTTACTATTTTATTGATGACTCATTTAGAAACTAAATTTAACGTGTTTTATGCATTGTCAATGAATGATAGAACTTAATTTTAATAGCTTCTATTTAACATACTGCAATCTGAAGAGAGTAGTACAGCACAAATGACACATGCTGACGTTCAAAGAATTGTTGCAGTGCTAAAATGACAGTCTGTTGTTATGATAAAGGGAAGCACGCAGTATACAGTAGTGCTTCTTGTGTATTTTCTGAACATTCATGTAGAGAACTAGAACAAATCTGTTGCTTACCATCTCTAGGAATATTTCAATTATCCATTTTCACCTTGAACTGAGATGATCTTCATTCATATTTCCCAAAGGACTCAGCCTATTGAGTGATTGGATTTCTCTTTTCTGAAGCGCTTTGATGACAGTTTTCCTCGCAGCCCATAGGCTCAGTGGGTGAGCTGCACAGAAAGATTAGTGTTTGTGTTTTCACCTCTCTCCCAGACAAAGGTTTAAAGTGGAATAATAGCCAAGTGCATTATGCAACACAATAGAATTAGGAATTAGTGAAGGATTTTTTTTTTTTTAAATGAGGCACCTTTTCCTTTTAATATTGTTCTGTGTTTTAGTCTTGTATTATCAGTACTGAAAATTACATGTTGTCAAACAAATGTAGCCATCCGCATCCTCACATGACATATGAAAATTGTCTGGAATGACATTAATGGTTATTTGAAAGATCTTAAAACATTGATTGCCAGAACAGATGTGCAGTTTGGTTAGATCTGTATCATTAGACTCTTATGTTAGGACAAATACCGAAACTTGTGCAGTATGAATCGTAAACCTGGTTGGAGCACTGTGATTAAGATGTTGATTTGATCAGTGGTTTTGTAATGCTTTTAGATTTTTAACTGGTTTTCACATCATGCAGGTGCACTAACACCTCACGACTTAATGCCAAGTGCCATTAAGATCAAAATCTCAGTGCATTACTCAGCAACGAAATACTGTACCTGGAATAGCTCTTTCACCTTTTTGTGTACTGAGGCTGTTGATCTTAATCTCCAGATTCTATTGTGCTTGGTTCTTTCCTTGCCTGCGCCACCTCCAACTGGAAATTCAAACCCATGTGATTGTTTTTTCTTAAGACATACAGTTCCAGTCTGTTCTGTGCAGCAGTGTTAATGACTTCAGAAGTCCTGAAAACAGAGCCAGCCAATTCAGTAGTGATCCTCCCATAAACTTATACAAACAATTTATTCAGCTGAGAACATCTGGCTGTAGGCTCAAACAGTACTTCAGCTTGTGTTTTGGGTTCCACCAGTTTTCCACAAAGTAGCTTATTAAAATTGTGAAGGCTTATACTACTTAATGACTGAGAGGATAAAAATATCCCTTGAAAGCTGCCCCTCTATCATAAATCTTTTTTTTTAAATTTCTTTTCCTATAGATGTGGAACATAACAGAGTGAAGAGATTTCTAAAAGGTTAAGGTATAGACAAGAATATGTTACTTTCCTTTTTGAACAGTAATAAGAAATATACTTACAGCCTTTTAACGGGGGGTTACACCCCTTCTTGTAATAATTGTAAATAAATGCAGTTTGAGTTTGGCAGCTCATGTCGTCTTTACTGATTAATTGTTTCTTACCAGGTTAAAATACAGTATATACTGTATGAAATATGGGTACATCCTTAATTTTGTCTGTGTTTTTCTTTGACCTTAATTTCCCTTGCTTAAGAATGCATGTAATTTATCTTTATCCCTTGTAAAATGTGGAATAAACAAAGAAACCCAGTTAAATATGTTAAAATCTGTGTGTTAAAACAGGTGAACACTCAAATTCCACCTTGTTTCTTGTTTAGTATTGAGCAGGACGTTGTTGTTTTCCCAGGGTGGTGTCATCTGTGGATGGGGGAAGACATAGACCACAAGATGTACAGGGTGTTATTCCTACAATATTGTCCTCTAGGGAGCAGCACAGTATTCACAGGCCTTTAAGAGGGTGATGATGTAATGTTCCTTGCGACTGAGCAAACCTCTTGTTTCCAGTGTCACATGTGGTTTCTCAGTATAATCCAGTGCCTAGTGCTGAAAGCGAGCCTGTTAGCCATGCTGTCTTCTTGACACCTACAGTCTTTGTAAACAGCTTCTCAGCTTCATTCTCACAGCGATTTGGAGTGGGTTGAGGGATGGGACAGGGAGTTGTTTCACACATTATCACGCTATTTATTTCTGGCAGGATTCTCGGTCCTGACATAGATTCTTTTTCGCAAAAATCCTTGGAGGAGATAGACCTGAAACTTGCTGTTAACCAAGAGTAAATGCTTCCTCTCAAAATATTGATCTGAATAAACGAAAGAAAGAAATTTAAGTATATATTCTCATGCTTAGACATCTCTTGTTTGAAACACTAAAGCAGGTCTCTGTGATTCACTACCTGGGGCGTAGTAATTACTATTTAGCTCTTGATTATTTTAGGTTATTTTTATGTAGTAGTATGTAAGTAGTATATAAGTAGAACAGGGAGTCATTGTAATAAAAAATAAGCAGGATGCTTCACAGTCCATAGATTTTAACACCATTTCAAGCCCTCATTTAATTAAACAAATGATTATTTTTCAGCTATTTTTAAGAGTTTCATGTGCAATATCATCTGAATGATCTTAACATTTTGAAAGATGTAAAAAATGTACCTAGAACAGATCTCACGATAATAGTTGATGCCTGAAAGCTGAATTCTAGCCAAAGGCAAATCATATTCAGTACTTTGAAAAATCTTTTAATAGTCTGAGCATTCTAATTGGAATGCAAACTAAAGGGAGTGAAATAAGATTTTCCTTTGATATGTGAAATAGGTGGCAAATAATCTTTTTTGGGTTATCAGGGCATCAAGCTCTTCTTTTGCGATTGCAGTCACGTTTTCTGTATGGACAAGAGTGTAATGTTTTAGTGTTCTGGGATCAAAGCATACAGTGAGGCTCTCTGTTTCACTTCTGGCCTGCTTTCCCCACTCTTTTTGTTCTTAAGCAATTTTGAGGTAGAATTCAAGTTTGCGCCTAATCAGTATTTTAACACCATGTTAAACTTGTTTTGAAAAATTCACCATTGTCCAAACACAGTGTACCTACAGTACTGATGTGTTCAGATTACTTGCTCATTTGTCCGGATTCTAACAAGGCAGAAGTGAGCGTGCATCATCATTTCTGTCATTCCTCACCGAAGGGCTCAGGAATGTAAAGAATGCATGGAAATTACAGAATGTGTCACTTGTTTTATCGGAGCATCATGAATTGGGCCATTTTGAGGGATGTAAATGCGTAATTAAGTTCCAAGAGACAGAGCACATGTGCATAGTCATCCAGAATCACGTACTGTGCAATTTTTTTCAGACTTTTGTGTCTACAGTGCCAGTCATGGGAAGGAAGCAGATTTTATTGAGTTCTCAAATGGAAATGTTATTATACTGTAGCTGTTCTGTACCTGGCCACAGAACCATATTCATTTATTATTTAATAGTTTCTTGAATTTCTATAGAACGTTTCATCCCAAAGGATCTGAAAGCACTTTACATAGACAGTAGGAAGGAGAAACACTTCATCCACCACTGAAATGCAGCACTTGCACAGGTGATGTGAGGCTGTCATTATGTGCCAGCAGCCCCACGACGCAGAAACACTGGTTTCACACGCATCCTCACCAATGAAATGAAGGGGAAATTTTAGGAAGGTAAGATTGTACAAACTCAAAGTACAATTTATGAGGACACTGGGATTGACATCCCTACTATTTTGAAAAGCATCATGGGATCTTGTACAGTGTAGTGATCTTGACCTTTTCTTGAATTAATACCAACTAATGATGATGATGATGGTTATTATTATTTTTATTATTCCGTTTCATATCACATAAATTAATTTAAATTAAATTAATACAATAAATATTTTTTCTTTGACATTAAAAACACTGAAAGGCCCCTCAAGATCTTTTGAACCACGACTAATTTTGTACAGCCACAACTGGCTTGTGCAGCTTTTCTGAAAGTAAAAAAAGGGATTGCTTTTTTTATTTTATACAAATATTTGCTTTTCTGAATGCTTTTGAAAATAATCGGCTGTGCTGTGAAGGATGTGAAGGATTTTTTGAAATTGCTAAACCAGTGATTGATTAGTTGAATAATTCTGTAGTGTTCTGTCTTGCACCTTACTTTCTTGGCCTCCAAAACTAACTCATAGAAACCTCCACAACTCACACCCTGGCAGTCCTGTTGCTTATGTTTCTTAAGTATCAGAAAAGCCACTAAGGAGACGAGTCCATTCTGCCCCTCATGCTCATTTAG